ATTAATTTATAAAAACTAAAATATATTTTATTAATTTATTTATTTATTGTGTTATTAATTTATAAAAACTAAAATAAAATAAGTTACTGGATTCAGAGTCCAATGTCCAATGTCCTAACCACTAGACCATAGAACCATTTTGTAAATAACATCTCAAAATTATTTAATTATAGGAGGTCACCTGAGATAAGATTAATCTAATTTAAACATTTGAGTTTTTAAAAAAATAATAATGTAGATAACGGTTATAATTCACCGGACGAAATATATATTATTAATTTATAAAAATACAAATAAATAAGTTTAGGTTCGAGGTTTTGGACTCTAAGTTATCAAATTCAAAGTCTAATGTCCTAACCAGTCAACAATGGAACAATTTTTAAAATTATTTAATTATAGGAGGTCACCCAACATATTGATTCAAGCTAAACATGAGAGTTTTTACTATTGAACCAGGAAAAAAAATACCTTGGTATAAATAGTAATTATCAGTACTTTTAATCATTTTTTTAAGTCTAACGTATATTTTTAGTATTTGTTTGATTTGAATGTTGTTATGGTTCATTTATATGCCTTTCATAAGCTCGGGTATGCACACGTCTTGTTGTTGCTTAGTTTATATTTTATTAATTTATTAGAGCATAACGTCAATTCAACGCTCATATTGATGTTGAATTCACGAGCACGTAGAATTGTCAATAAAAATGTGATTTACTTCCTTTGTTTGGAAGCTTTAATTTTGTGTCTAAAAATGGTTTAATTTAAAATATATATATATTTTTTTTAAGTTATATAAAATGAAAATGTTAATCTTTACTATTTGAGTAAAGTAATTTATATTAAATGAGATAAATATATGATAAAATTATATAAACTTTATTTGATTTAATTTTTATTTATAAATAATATGTCTTAAACTTGTTGTTTTCGAGTTTCTTTATCAGTCAATTATAATAATTATTCCTAATAAATGATTTTAATACAATTTTAAATACTAAATCGAATTGAACAATTAATTATAAACCTTATATTAAAAAATTAAATATAATTAATTTATTTCACTATTTTCAACACTTCATTGTAAATAAAAATAAATAGGTAAAGGAAACCCCAAAACCACAAATACAAATAATTAAAAAAAAGAAAATAAGTTAAAAGAGAGTTATAAAAAGAACAAATAATAATAAATATAAATATAAAGATAAATAACCGGAAAATATCATATTAAAAAAAACAACAACAACAAAAAATATAATAAAAGAAAAGTAACAAAGGAAAGAAAATTGAGAAAACCAAATTAATAAATAACACAAAATATAAAAAAATAACAATAAAATTTTAAATAATTAAAATAATAAAAAATAAACAAATGATAGGTATAGAGTTACATAAAATGTTAGGAATCACGACTCTCCACAATGGTACGATATTGTCAACTTTGAGCATAAGCTCTCGTGACTTTGCTTTAGGCTTCTCCAAAAGGCCTCATTCTAATGGAGATATTATTTTTCACTTATAAATCCATGATCTTCCACTAAATTAACCAGTGGGACTCACTTACAATAATCCTCAACATAGACTTTTAAAATCCCCAAATTCTGTTGTTTTTTAAAATTTTAAAATATTGATGATTTTGGTACATAATTAAAGGTAATAGTTTTTTAAAAAAAATTAAGAATATTATTAAAAATTAATATTGTTGGATAGAACATTATAAATTTAAATGTTAGCATAAAATATATACAAATAATTATAAAAATGAATAAAAAAGAGGAAAGAGAGAGGGGGTGTGTGTTGGGCCTTGTTTGGGCCCACAAAGACAAAGGCATAATTGGGTTAGGGACAGAATAATGGGAGGCTGCCACCGTTGTCATTTCCATTTCAGAAATGTCCAATCTTTTCTCCTTTCCTTTTATCTCTAACTTTCTGCTTTACTCATTATATATACCCACACAAACTTTTAGTTCTAACTTTTTTTTTTTTCAACTAAAAAAAGTGTAATCATAACCGCTAAATTAATAAAAATATTTTTTTTATTTATTTCAAAAATATTTTAAAAATATTTTAAAAATTTAAAAGCATGGTAATCGGAGTTTTAAGTAATAATCATCAACAATTTATTTTATAAAAAATACACTCAAACTCAAACTTTAAGAAATGTTTGGTTCTTATCTTTAAATATTAATATATATATATATATCTTTATTTATAAAATATTATAAAATAAAATAAAAATAAAGTACTATATTTAATGAACTTTTAAAAATAATATTAAAAAGCTCGAAAATAATATATGAGATATTAATAATTTATTTGATGATTTTTTATATAGATGTAAATTGTGTTATTGATATTTTTAAATTTTCATATGTATTTTTTCAACCTATTTTTTTACCTTTTTTAAAAGTTAAAAGTCAAAAGATATTAATGAGACTGGTTAAAATTTTAGGATATTTTTTAAACATTATTAAAAATTTAAGATTTTTTTTTATTTTTAAATAAAGTACTAATGATTTTTTTTTTTTCAAAACCAACTGTGATTATTAAATAAAATACAAAATTTATAAATATTATGTGATGTCTCACGTTGATTGAAGAGGAGAACAAATCACTCTTTATAAGGGTGCAGAAACCTTCTCATAGCAGACGCGTTTTAAAGCTTTGAGGAAAAGTCCAAAGAGGACAATATCCGCTAACGGTGAATCTAGAGCGTTACAAATGGTATCAGAGCCAGACACCGAACGATGTGTCAGTCTTCTCGCTGTTCTTCGAAGGGGTAGACACAAGGCGTGTCAGTGAGGAGAACAAATTTTGAAAGTTTTGAGTATTTTTAAAATTTTTTACCCTATTTTTGCTTTAAAATAAGAAACTCTAGGAATTGTTGGATCTAAAATTAATGATAATAATATTTTTATTTAAGCATATAAACTTTTTAAAGCTGGAAAGGATTTTATAATATAGCATGTTTTTAATTGTAACTTTAATTATTGTTTTCCCAAAACAGCTCAAGGCGTTTGTAAAATTTTTAATAACACTTTTCGTTTACCTATTTAAATATAATGATGAATTTGAAAAGTGATTTTAATTTAACTAAAAAGTAACTTTTAATATCTGAAAGGGGAAGTTACAGCCAAATACAGTAAGATAATAATATATTAATGGTTTTATTCAACAATAAAGTACATTATTTAGAAAATAAAAAAATTTATATATTTGGACCACATTTACTTTTTTAGTTCTAAAAAAGTACTTTTATTTCACTAATTAATCAATATTAATTTAAATAATATATCAAATTATAATTTTTCTCTAAAAAGTAAATAGATTTTAATTAAAAATTATGAATTTAAAAAGTTGTTAATTAAAGTTAGAATTCATGTTAAATGATTATCATGGAATTTTTTAAAATTTTACTTATTTTCTTACCATTTTTCTAAAATGATTTTAATATTTTTAAAAAATCAATTGGATTTTAATAAAAATATTAAAAAAACTAAGTAATTATAAAAGATATTTCAACTAAACCCATAATTGTAAAAGATAATAGCAATTAGCATAAAAATTAGTGCCTAAAAAGTGATAATAATTATTATTGATTAAAAAAAAAAAAAGGAGAGGGCAGACATGTAATTAATGAAAGCCAAAATTAAAATAATTTTTGGTTAAAAATCTTGGAAGTGTTTCCCAAAATAGAAGCATGTCAGGAAGATTTGATGCCTAAAAAGCAATTTTCAATTGAATTAATTTTTTCAAAAATATATATATTTTTTAATTTTCTTCTAACGCTTATTTCCACGTATTTTAATTAATATAAAATCATATATATATATATAAACATTGAGGTAATCAATTTAAGCATACAACCTTTTTTGTTGGGATATTTTATTTATTTATTTATTTATTTTAAAATTTTATTTTCTTGTTTCTTAATTTATTTATAATCATTGTGTCTATACTTTTTTGAAAATTTTTTAGATAGATTTTTACTTTAATCTATTGATTAATTTTATATTTCTATAAAATCACAATTAAATTTTTTTAAATAAAACCAAAAAAATTAGATATTAGAGGATGTGATGTCCCACGTTGTTGGGAGGAGAACAAACTATCATTTATAAGAGTGTGAAACCTTCCCCTAGAAGACGCGTTTTAAAGCCTTGAGGGGAAGCCCAAAGAGGACAATGTCTGCTAGCGGTGAATCTGAGCCGTTATTAGTGATATCAAAGCCAAACACTGGACAGTGTGTCAGTAAGAACGCTGACCTCAAAAGGGGTGGATTGTGATGTTCTACATTAGTTGGGGGAGAACAAACAACCATTTATAAGAGTGTGGAACATTCCCCTAGAAGACCGTTTTAAAGCTTTGAGGGTCAAGAAAGCACAAAGAGAACAATATCTGCTAGCGGTGGATCTGAGCCGTTATTAGTGGTATCAGAGCCAGACACCGGACGATGTGCTAGTAAGGACGCTGGCCTCAAAGTGGGGTGGATTTGGAGGCGATCCCACATCGATTGGAAGAAGGAAAGAGTGCCAGCGAGGAGGTTGGGGCTCGAAGGGGGGTGGATTGTGATGTCTCACATTAGTTGGAGAGGAGAACAAACCAGCCTTTCTAAGAGTGTGAGAAGCGGAACAATATCTACTAGCTATAGATCTGGGCCATTAGACCATTAGAGAGGTAAGGTATTAAGAACAAGTACTAATTTTTTTCCTTAAAAAATAAAATAAAAATAAAAAATGATTCCAAACCAGCCATAATATTTCCTGTCGAGAAATTATTAATAATTTATCTCTATTTATTGGAAATATAATTTAAATAAAATTCCCTGTCGGAAATGACGATTGGCCCCACCTTCATTTTAAATAATTTATTTGCTTGATTAAAAGAAAGAAAAAATAATAATTATAAATGAAGGTTAATTAAATATTTAAAAAAAAAATATAGGTGGGACCCATCACTATCATGCGCCTGAGAGTCACCATCTTTGTCTTCCCTGCTCTACTCATTTTTTTTCTTCTTTTATTCTTTAAGATATTCTCTGCTCTCTCTCTCCCAATTCCTCGGCGATTCTTACCTCTACTGCCATTTTCACCAGCATAATCGGCAGAGTTTCGGGAGTGAACTCGGCGGCTCTGACGATTTTGTTGCGTTATTCTTTCTCTCTCTGTCACATCTGGTTCGAATCTGCAGTCAGGTACAGCCACACTTTTTCTCCTTCTCTGTTCGATGTCATTTTTTTGTACCCGAGGAATCGAATCGAATGGATCGTTTGTTCTTCGAATTTGTGTTTGTTTCGAAGAATGTGAAACCTCATTTTGCTAAGAGTTGTTTGGTAATTTGTAGTGGTCTTCTCAAGTGGAAGTAATTTGTAGATTTCTGAAATGTTTGTATACTTATCTGCATTTAACAGAGCGTAATGGCCAGTGAGATGCTCGTTTTGATTGTTAATTTTTGTTTGAAACGATTCTTGATTTTTGCGCAGGAGATTGTAGATTTCAATTCATTATCCGAGTTTTTGGATCGTTTAGGAGTTTCGGAGAAAGCAGAAAGTTGTATCTTATCGAGTTTCGTGAAGATTAGAATAACGGCGGGAGATTCTTCGCATGTGGTCCGGTAGTAGTAGCTCTCTGTTTCCTCTTTCACGAATTAATTTCATCTACTCCTATTATTTATTAGTTTGCCTGTCATTTTCTTTCTTTACTTTTTGGCTGCAATGAAATTGTTCCGATTTTCTGTTTCAATAATGTTGATGATTTGAACATTCTCTTAACCATGTGAAATCGCCACTGGATCCGTAGCAGTGGTTAGATTTCAATAATAGAGAATATTGAAGTTCGGCCATAGCCTCCAGTTTTGAAATTTGGAGAACTTGTCGGAGAGGTAGAGAAAATTCTGCGTTTAAAATGTCGAGCATGCTATTTTCATATCATGATTTTATCTGATTCTGTCTTCTTACTTCGATTCTATTTAGCACATTGTTTGGCGACATCTTTGTAGGGTAATTTATGACTGAAAATGGCATCACGATATTGAATAATCTTTTGTTGAAGTGTAGATTTCGTAGGACTTTGTTGCTTGTGTTTATGCCTTTAGTTTGTATTTGAATGCTTTAAGAAACTAGAAATCTTGGCCCATTTTGATGAAGTTCTAAACTACAGGCAACCTGGCACGGATTAGTAGAAAGAAATTTCAACATCTGAGGTAGAGCTTACGAGCAGACGAACACTTCGATGGTGATAGGTACAATGAACATTTCGATTCTGAGTTATAGATGGATGAATGGGAGGGGTACTCATATATTCTGAGTAGGGGATCGTTGTTGACATACTTTTTGGGTTCCCAGATGAACACAACTGATGTTATTGTTAGCAGAAGGCGGAGGGTTCTTTTCTTCTTCAGCTTCTGGTTATAGCAGTAGCTTGACCCTTCTTTTCTTGGGTCAGAAGAGCGAAGTTAAACCCATGAGAGTTTTGCCATTGTTGTTGGACCGAGAGCCTGACCTTAACGAGCTGGCTTCGACAAAGACGTGGATTTCCTGGAGGTGTGCCTCCTCCTCCTTACGCTGCTTTCGCCATAATCCAGCAGGGCCAAATTCATCTATTTTGAAGAAAGATAATCCAGCAGGGCCAAATTCATCTATTTTGAAGAAAGCAGCCAGTACACAACGCCAAGATAGTTTAAAAACATCTCCACTTTCTGATAATGGCAAGAATCAAGTTCTTAGTTCAAATGATGAGAATCTTGCAAGCAAAATGGTGCTTAAAAGTAGCTTGAAAAAAGCACCAGATGCTACTGTAGTTTCTGTTGGGAATGCTGATGGAAATGAAGCATTGGGAGGAAAGGGTAGTTGTGATTCCAGTCATGTAGAAAGAAGGAAAGTGCAGTGGATAGATACTTGTGGAAGCGAGCTTGCTGAAGTCAAAGAATTTGAACCAAGGTATGAAAACTTTAATTTTTTGAAATCCCATTTTTAGAAGAATCATAATTTATGAAGCTTGTGAAATATTGCATGTTCGTGTTCCATGCTTTCTTTTTGAACAATGTTCGTCACATCATTCTTTTTGAACAATGGAAAATTTTAAGTTTTCATAGTGACACTAATATGCTGCAACCTTGCCCTCTGTAAAGCCTAATTCACACATGACCCCATCGTCTCCACCCGTAGGAACTACGAGATCACCTCATAAACGCCTTCGATATCCAGGGGTCGTGGAACGACCATAGAACCCTGTTCAATAAATAGAACGCATTAGATTGCAGTTATTTTTTAGAAATAGTTCTTCTTCGTGCAGATCATATTCTCATGTTTTAAAAACAACTTAAAACACCCTTCTAGCTTGAAAATATACAAATCATACTGTTTTGTCTATTGACCTTAGATCGAATTCATACTACAGATGAAATTCTTGGCGTAGTATAACCAAAAACCTAACCCTATTTCTCAGAATTTGCTGATTGTATCCCATCTAAGTTTGTATTTCTGATCAGTTTGAATCTTAATCCCGAATGCAGTGAAATAAATGTATCGGACGATGAAAATGATTTTGGAAAAAGGAGGTGTTTATGCAGTATCATGTAATTCAAACCCCATTTTTACCATTGATGATGTGTGCTCTAGATCCTCAAAAATCTGCCGACTCGAATCAGATCAACTTGTTCGCTCAAGATTTTTTTTCATGATAGAGGAAGCTTTGTCAGCAATTTTAGACAAAAACAGAAACCAACCAGGAATTCTGCTGGTTCCCATGTTCTTCGCGATGATCACCTATCCACGGTAGTGCTGGTTTCAGTAAGTTTCTTTTTTCGCATGGATGGATGAGTTTCACTTTTCAGCACTTTTTGTTGCTTTTTCACTGTATTTTCCATATTTCTTCGTTACTATTTACTCTATGAACAATTTTTTGGGGATATTTACTGTTGGGTATTCAAAAGGAAGCTTTTGATTAGGCTTTGATTGGTTGAGATTAGGATGATATTAAGATGAACTCTGTTTTGTTGATTCAATGCTCTGTTTGTGGAAATGTTTTTGGGGTTAAAAATGGAAGAGTGGGCAGCCGAAGTCTTGTTCATTTCAGCTTGAAATTATCCGCATGAACAATGAGTAAACTGAACCGTGCAGGTCACTAGCGAGCCAAATCCTCTTGATAACATTGAGTAGAAAATGAACCTTTAAAGTTCAAACTAACCCACTTTGAAAATGAAAATGAAAATGAACCTTTAAAATTATTTTTAAATGGCTTTTTAGTTAGTTTATGGAAAATAATATGAGTGTTATTAGTTTATAAATAATATGAGTGTTATTAGTTTATGGTATATGTTTTAATTAACCGAGATATATAACGATAAATATTTTTTTTTTATAAACTATATAATAAATTTTTATTATTTGAAACTTTACATTTATTTTTAAAGAAGCTTTTTGCTAACTTATTTGTTTAAATAAAAACAGAAAAGTGAATTCAAAATTTTGATTTTTTACTCTGTTTATCAAATTATATTACACATTCACATGAATATAATAAAACTTTTAATATTAATTTTTAAAGTATGCACATGGTTAGAACATTATAACTTTGAACTAAACACATATATATTATAATAGGACTAAAATATTTTATTTATATTAATTATAAATAAATGAAAAATATTAGGTTCTACCGAGATTTGAACTCGGGTTACTGGATTCAGAGTCCAATGTCCTAACCACTAGACCATAGAACCATTTTTATAACGTCTCAAGTTTATATTAATTATAAAATTTTGTTTATAATAAAATATTGTATTATTAATTTATAGAAACTAAAAAACGAAATTAGGTTCTACCGAGATTTGAACTCGGGTTACTGGATTCAGAGTCCAATGTCCTGACCACTAGACCATAGAACCATTTTGTTTGTACGATCTAAAAATTATTTTTATATACGTTATTAATAAAATGGCGCTTGAAAGTCGATTGAATGGACCGTCTTTCTTCATTCCCTAAACCCCTCAATGGCTTGTATTCTTCTGAAACTTGGCCACATCGTATCCACACCAAACACATCCACTCGATTTTGACTTCAATTCCTCTAATCCGAATCCATTTCAGTTCCACAAGAATCTGATAGAGAAATTTCAGAGATACAAGGCGAAATGTCGGGGGCCTGTTCATTCCCCTTTGCCAAAATCAAAATCCCCACCGTTTCCTCGTCGTCGGCGGCCGTTTCTCCGTCGGCTTCGGCTGCCAGTTCCACTTCTTCATCGTCCGCTCACAGTTCCATCAGATTCTCCTCCTCCAAACCTTTTGTCTTCACCATTCGGAGCTCTCAGACCGACGGCCCTATCAGGAGACCGGCGGCTCCTTCTCTGAGAGAGCCGTCGCCGCCTTCGCCGCCGCCTCCTCTCAAGCCGCCTCCTTCTTCGGCGACGGCTCCTGTTGCTCAGCCGTCGGGGAAGGCGTATGTTGCAAAACAGGATAATACGATCACTTTAGAGTTTCAGAGGCAGAAGGCTAAGGAGCTTCAGGAGTATTTTAAGCAGAAGAAGCTTGATGAGGCTGATCAGGGACCGTTCTTTGGCTTCATCGGGAAGAATGAAATTTCTAATGGCAGGTGATTTCATTTCCTCTTTTCTCCTCCGATTTTATCGATGATTATTAAATTTTGAAGCTGGATATTCTCCCTAGTGAACTCCATTATAAGTTTTGATTATGTTCTTGTGCCTAAACTAGTGAACTCCATTCCTTTTAGCACAAGTACAAGAATTCTTTCTTTATCTTCATGGATAACCAATCCATTTCCCATGTACTTTGGAGGATCGTTTGCACGACTGCTTCTGTTCCAGAATCATATCCACTGTGGTTTGTGCTGATTTTATTCAAAACCTGCATTCAATTTAGATTAAGAATGTATTTGATTTAGATGTTCGCGACTAGAAGTCAATCCCTATGATCGAAGTTATATTCTCTATAACATAGGTCTTATCTAGGTCTTATCTACGCAAGGAATGGAGAACATACGAAAGCTTTGAAGTATTATTTTCGGCCACTAGAACGAAACCCGTTCTCACCACAATCTACGGCTGTGATCTTTAATGACCTGTAGCACTTCGTAGAAGTAGAAATATGAAGAAATAGGTATGTCTAGATACTTTATTCTAATTGATAGAAGAAGCACAATAAAGATCAAATACTGTAACAGCCCAATCCTACCTAGCAAATATTGTCCTCTTTGAGCTTTCCCTTAAGATTTTTAGAACGCATCTACTAGGGAGAGGTTTCTACACCCTTATAAAGGATACTTTGTTCTACTCTCCAACCGATGTGGGATCCCATAATCCACCCCTTTTAGGGCCCTGCCTCCTCGTTAGCTCTCGTTCCACTCTCCAATCGATGTGGGATCTCACAATCCACCCCTTTCAGGGCCCTGCATCCTCGTTAGCCCGCGTTCCCCTCTCCAATCAACGTGGGATCTCACAATCCACCCCCTTCAGAGCCCTGCGTCCTCGTTAGCCCTCGTTTCTCTCTCCGATCAACGTGGGATCTCACAGATATCCATGTGTTTTGTGTTGATTTTATGGAAATGGAATGTATTTGATTTAGATGTTGCTCCTGAAGATGTGAATCTGACTGAATTGAACTGGTTCTTTGTGTACCTTCATTCCATATTTGACTGAATCTCATAGTTGCTAGTAGCAATCAGCTGTTCATTTTACTCGTTAAGGGTGTCATCATTACTCTTACTGAGACGTTTTTCCCCCAACAGGTGGGCAATGTTTGGTTTTGCTGTTGGATTGCTGACAGAGTATGCAACTGGTTCAAACTTTGTTGATCAAGTAAAGATCCTCCTTTCAAATTTTGGGATAGTTGATCTCGATTGACACGATGAACAAGGTCCATGTTTAATTTTTAATGTATCTACATCTTGTAATTCATTTCATAGTGTTCTTGAGATTCGTTGTTTGATACACCAATTGCCATTCAAGTTTGTGCTCCTTGCAATGCTTACTGTTCTTCTGTTTATATATAAAGTTCTTTCTTAGTTATTTATCGGAGAGATTATAATCCATCTCGAAAATATGATAGATTGTCTTATTTTTGTCGATAATAATATCGATAAATGTTGTATTTCTAGTTGCCTACCTTGAAATTTAGATGCACGGATCAAAATGTGATGCAGTGGAATGGATGAATGCTTTCTTTCCAACGTTCTTATTGATTCCTACTTTAAGGATAGTTCGAGTATTTTTATCTATATGCATTTTTCTCCTTAGAAAGAAATTTAACGTTAATACCTTATTAACTCTCTATTTAAGATTAAGGATAGACAGAGCTAACCTAATCGAACTATTCTCACAAACACAACGTCAAAAGTACATTACCAACTTGAACATTCAGGTGACACTGCCAATCTAATTTTTCTTTTGAGTACAATCGGTAGAAATGAAAATTCAAACTGTTGACATTTTGATTGAAAATGTATTATGATTTCTTAAAACAATTTGTAAAAATAAAAATTCAAACTATCGACCTTTTGATAAAAAAATGTAATGTTAGGCTGAAAGTTCGACATGAAGCTTACTTTTTAAATGTGTTCACGATGGAAGCTAAATATAACAACATAACCTATTACTAAATCACATCATCGATAAATCTCAGACACATATATGTGATATATACTTGTATAAAAATAATAATATAAACATCTCAACATCCCCATTCTACAGTTGACCTATTTGAATAGTCGGCTCGAAGCACTATTTACATTCCTCTTAATAGAAATGTTACCCATCTTGATATGAACCAAGAGACATCAATCATACAATATGCTTCAATGAAGATATGAAGAAAAGGTTGTCAAAATTATCAAAAGATGTTTCTATTCATGCTACATTGAAGAAGAATAAAGTTTGATTGTTGTAAATTTTGAGTGGGTTATAATTTAGAGTTATTGTATTTTAAGACTTTTCATTTAATTTCGGTTACATTTACATAATGGCTAATTATGGCCATAAAGTGTGAATGTTACAACTTTTGGAATGCCTTTAATAGTTTCATTTTGAGACTATATAAAGTGTGAAGGTAGACTTGGAAAATATATTAAAAGAAGCATTTGTGCTTTTATTTAGCCAATGGCTAAGTTTCTTTGCAACTGTATGTAGTTTAGGTTGCATGTAGAATCATTCAAGCTCGACATGATCAATCTTGCTTGTGGAGTGATTCGAATCTCAATCAAGTGTTCTTGCGTTGAGATATTTGATCAGATCTTGCTTGTGGAGATATTCGAATCTCAAATAATGTTCTTGTCTTGAGATATTCGATCAACAAGGTAATCCGAATCTTATTCCCCTTGTATTGATTCCTTATCTTATCACATCTCCTTCCCACATGAATATCATTGTCGCTATCCGCTGTCTTAACTACACATCGAGCTTATTTTGATACTCGTTGTCGTCATGCAACTTCACGTCATAAATCCGATCCAACAACTCGACAACATTCAACATAAGAGGTCTTTCCTTGGACTTCTCACTCGTACACAAACAAGCAATCCTAAAATACTCCTTCACATTTGCCTCCACTAGATCCTCCTTCAAAATGCTTGCATCAACCATTTCCATATGCTTATTTTGGGCCACCAAAATCCTGGCCCATTCTATTAAGCCCACTTCTCTATCCTCCAATACCATCGGCAAATTGGGCCTCCGGCCCATAGCAACCTCGAACATTAAAATCCCAAAGCTATACACGTCAGCCTTCACAGTCGCCGCCGTCACTCCATCCCTGTATTCCGGCCTCATGTATCCCCAAGTTCCGGCGAACTGAGTCGACACGTGCGAACTAGAGCTATCAATCATACGTGCCAGCCCAAAATCAGCAATATGGGCCTCGTATTCGGAGTCCAATAAGACATTGCCGGCCTTAATATCTCTATGAATAATGGGCTGAGAAAGCCCATGTAAATACGAAAGCCCATTAGCAACGCCTCTCATGATCTTCAACCTGGTCTCCCAAGGCAATGGCTGCTTCGAGGTCAAGCATCCATCGGAACCCTTATCTGCCTCCGCCGAAGTGGAGGTCTC